AATCTTCTGCGCTGTTTTCCCCCAGATGTTTTTTTTCTCAACATCAAGCTGCCTTTTTGGGACATAGATGGCGCAACTCCCACCCATTCGCCAAAATCAGGCTGGGAATGCCCACATAGATGGCGTAACTCCCTCATATCTCCCGACATCCATAAGCCAACCTAACCAAAATATGCCACATAGATGGCGCAACTCCCTCACATCCTGACATCCATAAACCAACCTAACCAAAATATGCCACATAGATGGCGCATCTCCACATAGATGGCGCAATTTTACAATTTCAATATATGCATTCTGATTATTTTTAGATGTATAATATTTACATACCGTGAACCCCCCGTTGTTGGCAGATATGTTTCTTATTTTTTCATCTTTTTTCTAACGGATGTAGGGTTTAGGGTTAGACACGATATATTTTGATAGAAATGTTATTTTTCAACATATGTTGGCAAAAAAAAAAAAAATCCGGGATACTACAACGATAGGTCCTCAAACACTCTTTCTGGGGACCTATCGCCTGAGTCCTGGTGGTTTTGCCTCCTGTCTTGGGATAACTCTGATGTCTTTCCTGGTGGTTTTGCCTCCTGTCTTGGGGTAACTCTGATGTCTTTCCTGGTGGTTTTGCTCCTGTCTTGGGATAACTCTGATGGGTCTTTCCTGGTGGTTTTGCCTCCTGTCTTGGGATAACTCTGATGTCTTTCCTGGTGGTTTTGCCTCCTGTCTTGGGATAACTCTGATGTCTTTCCTGGTGGTTTTGCCTCCTGTCTTGGGATAACTCTGATGTCTTTCCTGGTGGTTTTGCCTCCTGTCTTGGGATAACTCTGATGTCTTTCCTGGTGGTTTTGCCTCCTGTCTTGGGATAACTCTGATGTCTTTTTTGGTGGTTTTGCCTCCTGTCTTGGGATAACTCTGATGTCTTTCCTGGTGGTTTTGCCTCCTGTCTTGGGATAACTCTGATGTCTTTTTTGGTGGTTTTGCCTCCTGTCTTGGGATAACTCTGATGTCTTTCTTGGTGGTTTTGCCTCCTGTCTTAGGATAACTCTGCTGTCTTTCCTGGTGATTTTGCCTCCTGTCTTGGGATAACTCTGATGTCTTTCCTGGTGGTTTTGCCTCCTGTCTTGGGATAACTCTGATGTCTTTCCTGGTGGTTTTGCCTCCTGTCTTAGGAATTGGCGGAACTCGTTTTATGTTCCAGCTAAAATAGCTCTGTTTTCTTTCTCACCGCGCGGTGCCATCTTGTTGGCATTTTGGTTTCTGAGTTGAGCCATTTACTTTTAGGTCAGTGTAGTTTACGAACTTCAAACATCCAGGGTTGCTACTCCCCAAAGGGAATTACATGGAATTACGTATATGATATATACCCTGAAATGGAAGAGACCCAATTTCTTGCAGAACTACATACATAGATTATAGGTCCCCAGTGAAAATACCCATCAGCTTTTGAGGAACACCACCCAATTCCATTGGTTTTCATTGCAAAATAGTTTTTTTCATAGTTCTACGACACCGGTCGTGGGGGGTACCCTTCGGTGAGCCTGAAAAACTCATTTTTTTAATGCAATATAAAAAGAAATTGATCATTTCGGGGGATCTGTTTTTTTTTTGAAACGTTCTAGTTTAGGAACTTCAGACATCCAGGGTTGCTACTCCCCAAAGGGAATTACGTATATGATATATATACCCTTATACATGGAAGGGACCCAAATTCCTTGAAGAATTACTTACATAGAATTTAGGTCCGCAGTGAAAATATTCATCAATTTTTAGAGGAACACCACCCAATTCCATTTGTTTTCATTGCAAAATATGTTTTTTTTCATAGTTCACCCCGCAATTGCCCCAGCAAAACGCGTTGCAACACACTTTCCATGCTGAAATCGCAGTTGTCCCTTTGCGGAACTGGTTTGAATCACAGGCGGCTGCAGCAATCCATGTTTCTGTCAAAAACCTGAAAAAATTTATTTTCCTGGATCAAAATGGATAGCCGGAAATATTCTATGTATATGTTGTTTTTTTTCCGATTCCGGAAGATGTTTTTATTCTATGTATAGGTGTTTTTACCGATTCCGGGAGATGTTGTTGAGGCCGAAATTATCGATTTTGTATTCTATGTATCCCATCGGGATTATATAATATATAATATGTACTCACAAGTTTTTGCACATATCTGTACAACTTGAAGGGGAAAGCGTTCTAACTGCTAAAATGCTGGTTAAAACAATGTCAAAGGGAACCGTTCTATTTGCGGAAATGCTGGTAGAAAACAATTTCAAGGGGGAAGCATTCCAACTGCTGAAATGCTTGTGTAAAAAACAACTTGAAGGGGGAAGCATTCAAACTGCTGAAATGCCGGTAAAAAACAAGTTCAAGGGGGAAGCATTCTAATTGCTGAAATGCTGGTAGAAAAACAATTGCAAGGGAGAAACATTCTAACTGCTGAAAAACTGGTAAAAAACAATTTCAAGGGGGAAGCATTCTAACTGATGAAATGCTGGTAAAAAAACATTTCAAGGGGGTAAGCATTCTAACTGCTGAAATGCTGGTAAAAAGTAATTTCAACGGGAAAACATTCTAACTGCTGAAATGCTTGTGTAAAAGCAACTTCAAGGGGGAAGCATTCTAACTGATGAAATGCTGGTAAAAAACCATTTCAAGGGGGAAACATTCTAACTGATGAAATGCTTGTGTAAAAAGCAACTTCAAGGGGGAAGCATTCTAACTGATGAAATGCTGGCAAAAGCAATTTCAAGGGGGAAGCGTTCTAATTGCTGAAATGCTGGCAAAAGCAATTTCAAGGGGGAAGCGTTCTAATTGCTGAAATGTTGGTAGAAATCAATTTCAAGGGGGAAGCATTCTAACTGCTGAAATGCTTGTAAAAAACAATTTCAAGGGGAAAGTATTCTAACCGCTGAAAAACTGGTAAAAAGCCGTTTCAAGGGGGAAGCATTCTAACTTCTGAAATGCTGGTAAAAAACCTTTTCAAGGGGGGAAGCATGCTAACTGCTGAAATACTGGTAAAAAACAATTTCAAGAAAAGCATTCTAATTGCTGAAATGCTGGTAGAAAAGCCATTTCAAGGGAGAAACATTCTAACTGCTGAAATGTTTGTGTAAAAGCAACTTCAAGGAGGAAGCATTCTAACTGATGAAATGCTGGTAAAAAACCATTTCAAGGGGGAAACATTCTAACTGATGAAATGCTTGTGTAAAAAGCAACTTCAAGGGGGAAGCATTCACTGCTGAAATGCTGGGAAGCATTCTACCTGCTGAAATGCTGGCAAAAGCAATTTCAAGGGGGAAGCGTTCTAATTGCTGAAATGCTGGTAGAAAGCAATTTCAAGGGGGAAGCGTTCTAATTGCTGAAATGCTGGTAGAAAGCAATTTCAAATGGGAAACATTCTAACTGCTGAAATGCTTGTGTAAAAGCAATTTCAACGGGGAAGCATTCTAGCTGCTGAAAAGCTGGTTGAAAAAAAAATCAAGGGGGAAGCATTCTAACTGATGAAATGCTGGTAAAAAAACATTTCAAGGGGGGAAGCATTCTAACTGCTGAAAGGCTGGTAAAAAGCAATTTCAAGGGGGAAGCATTCTAACTGGTGAAATAATGGTAAAACACAATTTCAAGAAAAGCATTCTAATTGCTGAAATGCTGGTTAAAAAAACAATTTCAAGGGGGAAGCATTCTAACGTATGAAATGCTGGTAAAAAACCTTTTCAAGGGGGGAAGCATGCTAACTGCTGAAATACTGGTAAAAAACAATTTCAAGAAAAGCATTCTAATTGCTGAAATGCTGGTAGAAAAGCCATTTCAAGGGAGAAACATTCTAACCGCTGAAATGCTTGTGTAAAAGCAACTTCAAGGGGGAAGCATTCTAACCGATGAAATGCTGGTAAAAAGCCATTTCAAGGGGGAAACATTCTAACTGCTGAAATGCTGGCAAAGCAATTTCAAGGGGGAAGCGTTCTAATTGCTGAAATGCTGGTAGAAAGCAATTTCAAGGGGGAAGCGTTCTAACTGCATTCTAACATCTGATGATATTCATAGTGCGAAGGCATTCTAAGTGAGGGATTTGTGCAAAGGGTTCTCCAAAAACAAAAAAACTTAAAACCCGGGTGGGGAGGCATTCTAACTGAAGGATTTTTTGCCGTGCGCGGGCCGCATTCTAACTGAGGGGGAGGAATATTTGGAATTCGCGGAGGCATTCTAACTTTCATTTTAACGGTATATTCCATATTATCAGATTCCAGAGCATTTTACCTCCGAAGAGGGGAAAAAAATATAAAAAGCTCTTCAGGTCAATTTTTCGAAAAAAAATGTTTTTGGCTGTCTGCGCAAGTTTTTCTGGTGTACGATCCCTTTTGTGGAGTACGATGATCTGTGAGTAGGTGTGTGGAGTGCGATGGGGTCCTCTGGGGTGCGATGACACCCCTCGAGTGCGATGCGACATGAGTATGCGCGGCCGGAAATCCCCTGAGAGAAGGATTCTGGGCCACAATTCCCCAAATTCAACAGAGTGGGCGGATGCTGGTTGTTATAATTTAACAGGATTTCAGCCCACTCAACAAACAAGTCAAACAATATGTTTGAAACCCTCTCCTTCTTCAGTCTCCAAAATGGGAAACTCACTTATCAGGACACGCTTTAGTTCATCCAGGCTCCATAGCATTTCAGGAACAACACAAGGCATCGACATGGTGCCAAACAATTTCCAAATTGAGCTGAAAGGTCTTCCCATCGCAACCAGTCAATTCACAGGTGTGAAACATGTCACACACAGGGAAACAGGTTGGGAAAACAGTGGGTCCAAAGAGACAGGTCTGGAGTACGATGGATTCATAGTATATGTACATTTTCTGAATTTGGGTAACTTGGAGCTAGAATGATTATAAATATAAATAACTATAATATATATTAATATATATTTATATAAGTATATATATATATAAAAACTGTATATATATATATACTAAATACCAGTCTTCATCTTCTGCCCCAAGGTCTGCGCTTTTCATCTTCAAAGCCTTGGGCTTCGCGAAACCCGATGACCTGAGTCTTACGGCCATCACACACGTGGACGTGTCCTGACAAGCACTGTCCGGGCTACGCCAGGAGTTTTCTGGGCTTTGGATGTGTTTAAATGGTTTGACATGTTTTAACCCATTTTGAAGACGATGTACTGGCATACATGTTTGGAGAACTATAGACTTATTTAAGTTTTTTTTTCCGCTGCCAGATGTTCCAGGAAGGTTGAATTAGGGAGGGCCCCAAACCGGCAATTGCGCAAAATTGCCATTCAGCCTGCTTTCAAGAGCTTGGTGAGGCAGACGGTTGCTGACAATTGATACCAGACATCCCCAGACCAACTATAAAGTTATAAAGGAAGTCGTCCATGTGCAAAAATGATTGGAAGTATCCGTCTTGTGCTCAGTGTCAGTAACTGCCCTCAATCTGATACTGCAATGTTTATTCCGTTCCTTAGCTGTATGACCTCTGAACGTGCCTTGGCAGTCCATCGACACGGAAAAACATGGAGCGCCCATGGATCCATGATGATCCATGGAATCTCGAGGCCATGAAGTGTCACTTGGTGGCGTTTCTGGGCCCGCGGGGCCTCACGCGCATGGCCTTGCGCTTTCAAGAGCCCAGCAGCGCCAATTGCGCCATGGACCTCACCTCTGCGTGCAACGCTTGCAACGTTCACCAGGATGTGCAGGCCATGAAGGACCGGAAAAACACGGGAAAAACAAAGAGCCGAAGCTGTTGGCCAAACAAAAACCCTCCGGAAATCAATGGAAACTCAGGGGAAATCAATGGAAATCATGTAAAACCTGCATCATATATCATTCTATTGATGGCAAAAGCCTGCCAAAAAAACATCTATTTATTTGGCCCTACCAGAATTGCCATGGGTGTGTAATTAACAGGAGACCGAATCAACTTGGGTAAGGATGAACTCTGCCACCTTCAAACTGACTTCGAAATCCCAAGGGAAGTCTACAATTTGGCAGGCGTGAGACGTTGCGGTTGTAGTACTGCCGGCACTAGGACCACATGGAGGCTGTTGAATTTGAGTTGGACACTGGACCTTGCTTCGTTGAGTATGCTGCCGAAAAGCGCGGCTATACCGTGACCGTAGGATATGTGGTTTGATCAGCCAGGCAAACCTGGTCCAATGCGTGGTCTCACCCGGATAGAGTTGGACAAAATGAAAGAAAAAAACCGGGAATTGCAAGTTGCTGAACCACATGCTGTTTGATTATGTCATATTATGTGTTCATTTTGTTGCGAAATGGGGGTACTTATTATATATTTATTTATATATATATATATACTCCAATTATATATGTGTATGTGTATATATTATAATATTAGTTAATAATATATGCATGTCTGAGTTTGTGCATATTATGTCTGCCCCAATGAAGCGGGGCCGGGCCAGGCTTTGTGGCGTGGATCTGGCCAAGTTTTTGATGGGAAGACACGGTGGTTTCAAGCTTTAGTTAGGCTGGTGGAAAATCTCAAGTTCAATATTTGTATTGTATATAAATATATATATATATATAAGTATAAATGTATATATATATACAATAATTCTATAGTTATATAATAATAATGATGATGATAATATATGATAATAATAATAATTATATATATATATATATCTTCACGGATGCATGCCCAGCAAGTTTAAAGCCCTGGTGAAATGTAGTGGATCCACTGAAGAATTAAGAATCCGGTTGGGGGGGCACTTGGACAACATGATATCTATATATATATATTATATTATATATATAGATATAGAGATTTTATAGGATTGCTTGCAGTTCCATGGAGATTGAACTTATGACAAGCACCCAAGCATTTCGTATTTATTGATTAAGCCAAATTTTACTGGGTGAAACTTCGTATTTATGAACCACAAAGTTTTACTCATGCCTGGATCCACTTCTGACTTCTGTGAGCTTGGTCATGGCTCAAGCCTTGCAAGCACCTGGCAATGAAGAGAGCCTTGAGGCGTTGGACCATTAGTTTCTTCATTGCCAGTGCTTGCAAGGGTTGAACCCAACAATTTCCCAGATGGCATGCCTTGGCCGCCAAGGCCAAGGCATGCACCAATTTTAAACTAGCCATGTTGTGGAGGATTATCAACTTCCAATCTGGTTGGAAAAAAAAACAATCCTGCTAAACTATGAAAAACCATGTCTTCAAATATGATGTTTTGGGTTGATATTTTTGCGTGATCTAGGGCCCCCTAACTTCCAATCTGCATGCAAGTAAAGGTCAATCAATCCTGTAAAATCACGAAAAATTGTCCGCTGGAATTTGCGTGAAGTTTGCGTGAAGTATTTGCAATATGTGCCCCTAGAAATCTCAAGAAGTTGTACACGGAAAGTGCTTGCTCTAGGTGCCCAAAAGGTGTCCAATGTCCCAAGTGGATGTTATTAATTTGTTGACTCAAGCCAAATCAGCTCCATTTTGAAGGGATTTTGGAACCAAAAGCTACTGCAGCAATTTTATGGTAGCAAGTTCGTCTTCCCATGGTATCATCACACATTGTGTCATGAAGATGAGATGCAAGGTTTGAAATGTTGGGTCTTGCGGGAAGAGACGCCCGATGGACATCATGTCTTTGGCAAGGGCCAGGTCTCTTCGATGGAAGATCCGGAATCTTCAGTTAAACAGATGAGAAAAACAAAACATGCTGTTACTGGTAGGGGCAGGTCCGTGAAAACCCCTTAAAATCCCAAACATTGTATTTGCCTATTAAATTCAATTAATGTAAATACATGTAAATACTATATAAGTTTAACCAGATACTAAGTTAAAGTTCGACGTTGGAAATCCGGGGTGTATATATATATATATGTGTGTGTATATATTACACATGAGTATACCTAAAAATGCGTGTATATCCATGAAATGGGATGGTCGTCTCCCTATTGGCTTTAATATACCCAACATTTTGCAGAACCTGTGAGTCAACCGCCAGGCAAACTCCTGAGCCGATTCGTCGAAGACCAGCTCTCCTGGCAAGCCCGGAGACACTCGGCCAACGCACTCGCCAAGCGGCCTCCAATGTTTTCAGCTGGAGGTATAGACATAGGTAGACTAGAGGTAGACTGCAGCTTTATCACGTGCTTGGAAAGATTTCTGAACTTCCATGGGTGGAATCCAAACCGTGCTAAATCCTTCTAAAAATAAACTGGCGCAACTGGTTGCAATTTTCTTGGGCCTTCATTGTGCTGAGTAGAAGATGATCAAGATGTCACAAGTCACGGGCAGCCAAGGCCTTCTGGCAAAGACGAGGTTCGAGGGCAGTTCCTGATAGCCTGATAACACTTTCAGAGCACAAGGTGTCAAATACCTCAATAGGAAATAATAGGAATATGTAATAAGAATATGTCGAAGTCTCATGCCCTTAGCTTGTGGCTCTTTCTTTGCTGCACTCATCGCGGAAGGACTTGGCTTCCAAAAGTCGCAAGAAACTCAGGCACGCAGCCGTTGCTCTGTTGGACATCTGACATTTTGTAGTACCGTGAAAGCTCATGCGTCCCATATCCTGGGGCAAATGATCAAGCAGTACTTTCAAACTCCTTAGAGAGGGTGCCGATGGGGGTCGCAGCCACAGCAGGCTACCGCCGTTTCCGGCTGCTGGCCCAGCACCGAGTGTCCTGAGTATGCTGCTGCTATTTTCATGGGCAATAGATGTATGGCCTACGGTGATGGTAGTCGTTGCTTAGGAAGTTAGGAAAGAATTTGATCCTTTCATACATTGATAATTATTGATCCTTTGAAGGCAGGGTCTCCTTGTTGCACAAAGGCACTGCTCTGAGAGACGTTGCCAACGTTGTCAGCTGAACTAGCGCTGCTGAGCCGCTGAGGGGTCCGAAAAGAGACCATCTCTTCCTATAGGATTTGCGGTCCTTGTCACTGAAAAACTATGGGCTCAAGAGCTAAAATGGGAATGCCAATGATCATATTCGGACCTCCATTTCCTGTTGTGTTGTGTTTTTTTTTAGGCCTGGGGTTGTTTAGCGAGCAGTTGCAGGTGCTGTGCTCTCTGGGATTTGGTGTTCAGCATCAGAGCGGCTGCCCGGCAGCCGCCCGTTCCAGATGCAACTGCCGCTAATTTGTTTGATGTTGCCCTGGCTGCACTCCAACCAGCAGAACTGGCAATCCTTGGCTGGTTGGGCAGCCATTGAAGCAATAGCCGCTAGCCACGCATTCTTGAGCTGTTGCAGATGTCTGGGGAAAAAGTCAGGACAACACTTGACTTTGCGCCTGGCTCATGTTTAATGTATGACTGGGGGCCAATGGGGTAAATTGCCCCATTGGCAGACATGTGTTTTTTCTCTTTAAGCTCGGAGTACGATATGCGGGGCGCTGGGACCAGTGGCCTAAGGACCTGGAACACCTGGAACATGTGAAGATGAAATCAGCAACAGCATCTTTCATTCTTTATGGATCTTTATGGGACTTAAACTTGGTTGGCCATGTTCCAAACCCATGGCAAGCCGCTTTGACACGCTGAATCTGGCTGTTGCTTTGCCCATGGAGCGATCAGTGGGTCGATTCGGATGTGTCATCTTTGGCTGCACAAGCTGCGGAAACAAAATGCGTCATTGCTGGGCCATAGCTGCAACAAGTCTTCCTCACCACCTGCAACTCCTGTACACGTGGGGCTGCTGTTTTTGGAGCTCGTCGTATAAAGATCGATGTATAAAGCATAATCAATAATCCGAGAAGTGTCTACAACTGCGGTACTGTACCCCTAAATCCACTGGGTATCACTGGGTTATCATGATTTTCCCACGGTCTCAGTCTTAAAACTTCAAATCGATCGATCATATTTTCCTAGATTTTCCCATTGAGATGGCCATAAATCCTGGCATTTTTGGCTCTGCCAACGCGCTGCAACTGGTGCAACATTCAAAGCCTGTCAAGTCAACTGGTGCTGATGTGGGCCGACTCAACAAATCCCCGAGCAGAACCAGGAGCCTACATCAAACATACATAAACAATCATAATCATACTATATCTCTCACTCACACATCATATTATAGTATATTATATATCCACAGCAATTGCGCATTTGCATTGTATATTTTGAAGAACATGTGACGATGTGTATGTGACTATATTTAGAATACACATAGAAAGAGAGAGAAAGAGAGAGAGAGAGAGAACATCCATAACATTCCATAATATAAAAGGTAACTGTACATGGTATCTTAATTGCAGAAACAACTTATTTTATTTTCTCAACTTGGTTTGCATACTGGTACGCCTCAAAATTAAATCTGGTCGTCAGAATGCGGCAAAGCCAATCACGGTCAACAAAGCCATGATCAGTCCCATTGGCACATCCCTTAGACTCAGACATGTTTCACGTTGTCAGTCTATCATTGTCGGTGTTTGTTGCATCACCATGCTGTACCAAATGTGTCGCAGAGGCTTGCTTTGGCGCTTCCTTTTGCGTCCCCTGGGGCGTTCGGCTTGAAGAGACGGGTGAGGGGTGTGGTGGCGAATCATGGCTGACCACACAGTGACTTCGCGCAATCTGTGCAGTTCATTCCTGAGGCCTGCGACTGAGATTCATTCTTTGGTACCGACGCTTGCGTGTTTGGCTTAGTCACGCCTTCGCCGCTCAGCTATTTCAAGTTATGTGCAAATTGGTACATCGTGGTGCTTACAATGAGCATCAAGCCAAGCATTTAATGTGTATACCAAGGTCATTCTGAACATCAAGTGCTACATGCAGTAGCCACTGAACTGAAGCATAGCTGTATGTTTTTTGCCACTTAACAGTGCCCCAGCGCCCTCAACAATCACAGTTTCATCTCAGGAGCACAGCAGAGTCCTAATCCGCCCAGTGGATCAGGTCGGAAGGCAATGCCATTGGAAGTGGCCCAGATGCTCAGGAAACGTGGGAGAAGTGCAACAGATATACCGTTTGGTGATCAAACGTAGCTCATCGTTTAGCAAAAATCCACCATTTCCAGATCATTTCCGAACGGGAAACCCATTTTTCCATAGCCATAGCTGTGAGCTTAATTTTTGACGCCTGGCAACGATGTTCGGCTCCTAGAGGGATTGCGCATAGTGGTGCAATGTTTTGGCAGATGGCAGAGAAACAGCTGTGATACATGTGATCTAGCCATCTCCTCAACTTTCCATAGAACATAGCACAAGCATTGACGTAGTGCATGTTGGCCCAGCTGCAAGTTGTCAATGTTTGGAGAATTGTCAGCCATGGATGGCCAAATCCTCACCGCTAGCTCCGCGTTTGTTGGCGGTGGCCAATGCAGCCCTTGCAGCAGGTAAGGGGGAAGAAAGATCAAAGTTATTGAATGCTGGAAGATGTTGGAAGTGTTCAGGGCAGCAGGTCAATCAAAGCCATTGCCGCAAGATTCTGCAAGCAATGTGATCGTTTTTGAAATTTGATTCATGGTTTGCAGTGGTGCCTAGATTGCAACCACCTTTTCGTTTCACAATGCTATAGAAACACGCAAAGATACTGCATTCTTAGGATTTGACTAGGCAAAAATTGAAAGCGATGGGGGGAGAGAGAGAGAGAGGAACGATAAAACATACGACGCATCTCATATTCATCCAATGATTCTGTTCAGATGCTGATGGATTCTTGGGGTCAGAGCATTGCGAGTTTGGTCAGGTCCGCAACTATGCATAGCAGACATTGGATGCTATGTGGGCAATTTGGCGGTGCATCTTGTGCAACAAGGTGGGGGAGGCTTTCCTAGTCATGCAATGGCATATACTGTGTGATGAGGGCAGGCTATTTTGAGGCTGAAACAAAGGGATCCTGGTAGCAGCTGAGATATGATTGCAGTGGTCGGGTGGAAGGGTTATCTCCAGTGAGGAATTGCATTGTCTGTTGTTACTGGATGTTACTGGAGGCAACTTAGACATGTAAGCAGCAGCCAGTGGCACCCTTCCAATCCCTTCCCATCAGTGGCGGCATTTTCCCAAGCAGTCCGTTCTATCGTACCTCAGTGATCCATGTGTCATGAAAGTGCATGAAGTGATGTAACATATGTAACCCCTGTGGCCCGACAAAAATGATCCGTGATGGCGGGGGGCAGGAGCTCGGGTCGTTGCCATTGATGTCGCACCTGGCCCTTTGGAGCTTGCCCGCCAGAAAGCGCAAGATGTGCTGTCCACGGAAGGACAGAGCCGTACCTCAGAGGCATGAAATGAGAGTCAAGTGCATCATGGCACAGAAGAAGGGTTAAGTTTGAACCATATTGAGGTGGTATGTTGAACTCACTTTGGTTGATGTTGCTGAGATGGGTTGAACCTGGCATAAAGGTATGGCATTCATTTGTGTTACTAACGCGGAAACTGAATAGAGTTTGGATCCAATCTTGCAATTCACCACCTAAAGGCCTCGAATTCCGCCTGGGCGACGGCTTTGCAGCTTTGAAGGTGGAGGACGATGTGGGGGTAGCGTGTCTTGCTGGTTTGCCCGCAGGCCGACCGTCAAGATTCAGCTACTCAGACCATCTCAAACAAGTGCCTTCTGAGTTTTTTTTGGTGTTGGGAGATTTGCAACATGTGCCATTTGCATTATGTTTGCAATTGTTTGCATCAGCTTTCTTTCCATTCTTATCAGTAGATTTTAAGACGCGTGGTTGACAAAGTCCATGCTGCTGCTATTCTTGGGTCCGGATGGTCCCAGGTCTTTTGCTGCAGCTTTTGAACTCGACCCCTCCAAGTGTTACACGCTTGGTGCTGCAGCCTACGTGCCCCACTGCTCCAGAGGCAGCACGCCAGAACAGAGCTGCACGAGTTGAACATTGCAGTCGCCATTGGGGCTTCCCAAAATGGGGGACCCCGAAATCATCCAAAATTGTCATTTTCAACAGGGAAACCGGTGGTTTTGGGGCATCGATAAGATCATCGATATTTTGGGACACACCCAATTTGTGCAGACAGACAGCATGTGCCGTGTGCCACATACGTGGAAACTGAATTCAATGAAGCAGGTCTGTTGTGAGGCATTCTTGTGTTTTTGAGGAAAATGGAACGAGGAAGATACAGCAAGAGCATTCATTCCTATACGGAAGTGCCCAGAGAAGTGACCAGAAGCTTTACCCTCTGGTGAACTAACATAGCAATGGAAAATCACAATTTTTAATGGGGAAATCCACTATAAATGGCCATTTTCAATTGCTATGTTAGTTCACCAGAGGGTAATTCCTCAATTGTTCTTGTGAATCATTCCGCAGAGGCTATGGCGGCACTGCGCTGCTGGCTCCATGATAGTGCTTGGCAACTCACAGAGCACATCAGCCTTGAACGAGGTTTCTGCACTTGATGAGAAATGAAGGGGTTGTATTCGGCCATATTCGGCCCGTAACGATCCAATCATGCTACCAGGAGCTGCACACACTACACAGACATCTCGCAAATCCTTATAAATCCTTTCCAACAATCATGGGAAACTGTGTGAAATGCTTGATGATCTTGATGCCAAATGGAGTCTTTATATATCTTTATTCACAGTCCATACGGTTGAATATCCTGAGGTGGGGCTTGCATCACCCTAGTGGCAGATGCCTTGGAGGATCAGCAAGGGAATGTTCATCATTCTGGTGGCTTGATTCAAGACATGTCAAGACTAACAGAGTGGATCAGAGTGGATCAGAGTGGATCAGAGTGGATGGATGAGAGACATACAGCATGTGTTTCATGATGTTTCATGTGTTTCTGACCTTCAGGCTACGATGTTCGAACACTTTCTGCGGAACATGGAACCCCCGATGGTACATGATTTACCTACTGAAACTAGCAAGGGATTTCCTGCTGCCATTGCCATGTCCATGTGATTTTGTCTCTACCTATGCGCTCTTGAGGTGAATGCACTGCAGTGGCACAGCACCGGGCACAGCTGTTGCCAATGACTCTGCGGGAGCGGGTTTTCCAACAGCTGCTCCAAGGTGTTGAGGCGCTGAACTCCGCTGCAGAAGCCAATTGTTGCCGGGATGATCTTACAAATGAGTCAAAACATGTCAAAACCCTGCTTCCTGATTGCTTGAGTAGGTACAGTGGGTATGAAATCCGCGTTGATATATCAATCAAGATCAATTAAGCCACTTGTCAAAGGGAACCCCAAAAAAGGGGATACTAGGGGCCTTGATGAGCATGAGTGCTGTTGACTGACTAGCTGTGATGGTTGACAAAGTGTGGGGAAAAACTCGCCCTTATACCATCATTCTCAATCTGATAGATCATCCAAAGTAACCCCATTTGTGCTAAAGCGGCTTGCGCATGGTGACACTCAAGCCCTTTGTTTGATTTTGGTGCCAATGATTGAAGGAAGGAGGTCCTAATGTTTCAAGCTGCTTCAAGCTCAGTGCACAGAAGATGCCCACGGAACCCCCCTATTTGGTGCTTGCAGCCAGGATGATGAAACGAATGCTTACATCGAGCTGTTGCATGAGAAGCTTGAATCAATGCATCCCGATAGCCCACTCTTGTTGAAGCAGGTTGAAGCTGCATAGCAGGGCAAATTACGCACATTCTCCATGTTGAAAAATCCAAGCTGCTCCACCCAACAAGATCAAGCAAGGTCGCCCCTGGTCGCATTTGTTCTGATTCTTGGTCTTCAGCCATGACTTTACTAATAGCCACCATGTTGCGCTTTGTGATGGACCTATGCTGGTTGTTTCTCGATCATTTCACACTGCCTCACAATGAGGTATTCCGGTCGACTATGTACATGTGATAAGAGGTGGATGATGGAAGCAGCTTGGGCAGGATGGTCCCTCATGATAATACATGATAATACATGATAATAGTTCTGCTGTTGGGTTTTTCTTTCGATGACCTCCCACGATATCCCATGCGAATGTCCAAGCTGGCGTTATTTGAAATGACAGTCACTGAATCTGAAGCGGTATGCTTGACATGGATCAGTTGAGAATCGAGAACTTGAAGCAATGACTGCCAGAACCGAGGTAGTGGAAGAAGAGCTTTCGCTTGTGAAAGCCCTTCAGAGTCGTTTTGCGTCGCCTGGGTGACTCATGCTAATCATTCTGGATGTCACGCAGCCGTATTTTCCAACCTAGCTTGCGCGGAAGGTGGAGGTTGCCTCTGTAGTGGTCATCAATGCAAAGGCTGAGGAAAAGACCATCAACGCTCATTAAGCAAGATGCAGCATGATGATCATGATGGCGCATCACTTTGTGACATGTTTTGACCACATCGCAGTGCGTGGCGCACCATCGCGGGCCTTGATCATGTTTGACACCAAGATCTTCGAGAGAGCGTGGAGATGCCGGCGGTGATGTGGTATGGCCATAGACCAACGTGTCCACAACGATCCAGTGACAAATGGAAAACAGGAGCTGTGGCGGATGGGGCATGACTCCTACCTTTAGGGCCAAGGAGGTTTCTGAAGGCCATGGAAACATCGACTTGTGGATCACAGCTGGGAAAATCAATTTTTCATTGGCAAGTTATGATTACTTTGGCCACTAAGGTACCCATCGCCACCCCCCAGGCAACAGGACTGCGTGCGTGTGTTCCTCAGTGGTGAAGCTGGTAAGAAGTGCCCTACTGCCCTGCCCTTCATATTTGCAGGTTGTGTATGCATTTCAGCCTGGGCCTTGCAGTTTTCACTGCTTGGGTGCTTTTACAACTGCATGTTGCACGTGTTTTGATCGTTGTTCCTCCTGTTGCGGCGTTGCCTGTGGGCTGAGGATACTCATTTGCACCACCATGACCTCTGGCTACCACCTGGTGATGTTAAAAGCTCAAACTGCGCTGAGCAGCACCGAGATAGGACTTGAACATACTTTAACGAGCTGCTATTGCAGGAGCCAGTGCAACAAGTAACAAGAGCGGCATATTTTGAGACGTTTGTGAATTGCACTCCGCAAAGGGGTCTCAAATCCAAACACATGCAGTCACTTGTGTTGACAATGTATCCTTTTTCCAACAGGTGAATTGGTTTCCCCTTTGCTGCACTGAGATTTTGATTCACTGTGGTGATGTGCTGCTTGAGAGCCGGGGCCTACAGGCACAAGCAGGAAAACACACAATTCACAACTGATAGAGACGTTCTTTGGCCCCACTGGCCAGGGCTGTGAGTTAAGTTTCTGATAGTTTCTGGGTGCAGGCGAAAGACCTGGATGAACTGAGAAGGTTTCACAGCTGGATTGCGCAGCAGCCGCGGGGACTCCAAGACTCACAGGATGAGGGGAAAGCTCCCGTGGCCGTGGGGCGGGGAAGCTCCAGTTCCTCTGGTTCCTCTGACCAAGGGCTACAGAGACGTAATGTCAGTTTATGTCACACCAGTTTTATGTATTACAAGTATGTTTCTGCCCTGACTGCATGCACCTCGTATATTGAGACAAATTTGCATTGGAGGGTGTAGAGTGCTGGAACCTTCTTCCCCCCAAGGCACAAACACAAGCTGCTGGTGGCCGGAAACCACGTTGGGTGTCCTGGATCGTTTGGTCTCAGAGCTTTAATGACAAGGGCCTCAGGCTGGAAATGGCCTGAGAAAACATGAGAAAACATCATAAAGTTGCCACGATCAATTTGATGTTTTTTCAGACTGGATATTGCAGGATGGCGCCTTGCAAGAGCTCAAAGCGGATGGTGTCCGGCAGATTTTGCCAAAGTGCACGTACTTGCAGGAGATCGAAGTATTCGGAAGTGCTTCCGTTGTACTTGTATATACTGCAGATACGATTGGCGTTTACGGAAATAGATCCTAGAGCCCTAGAGTTCATATTCTATAGATATATATTTTTTTCTAGATGATCATAGATTCATAGCATGCCACTGATAGTCTTCCCGCTTCCTTAGTGCACCTCCTCGAAGGATTTGTCCACTTTATTCACGCAGGACGAATCCATCGAATTGGAGGGCCCCGACCTCAAGGGTTTGATGGATTCTGATTCACCTATAACATCGTGTCACCCATATGATTTTTTGTTCACTGAACTTCTGTGATTTGGCAGCATTTGAGCCACCTTGGGGGCAAATGATTGTATAGAACTATACCATTTATGGATGGCAGTGATGGTACTAGATCAATTTGATGTCCATTCCCATTATCTGAATTTCAGATCGCAGACTCGTTGAAGAGGGATCGATGGGTCCAGTTTCAAATGCTGCACATCTGGCAGGTTTGAAGATTCATGCTTCGCTGGCAGCCCAGATCATCCGGGATGGCGTTGTCAGCTGGTGAACTAAGGATGCCAATAAAAATTGGTGAACGTGTCGCAGCTAGTAGCAACATCATAGGATAAAAGATGATAAAAGCAATATAATTGTTTATGGGTAAATTGGGTATTAAGGTATTCAGATGTATTCATCGTCGCAGGCGCGTCATTTGCAATCTAAAGACCGACGTTCCCACCCTAGTTGTTGGGCGTTGGAAGCGTAATACTAGAGTTTGTGATCAGTTTGTGCTACCTGCCTTCTCGGAATTGGGCATTGCAAGAAAATGGCACTTGGCACATGTTGGCACCATGATCAATTGATTGATGGATATTGATTGGAGGGGACATTTACGGGAAGCCATGTTTCTTACTCCCCAGCACCGCAAGTATTGAGCATAGAGGGGACATGACGAACCATCCAGGCCGCTGTCGACTGGGCAAAGTCCCAACTCTGCGTTTCAGATCCTCGGTTGGCACAAGCTGTCCATGGTTCCACGGTATGTCAACAACAATTCGAGAAAAGGGCACTCACGAGTATTATTAATTAACAAGTGGCATTTTTGGGATACACTACAGAAATGGATGACATCAACTGTTTGTACTAGATTTGGTCCCACTTTGAAAGTGGGATTGGGTTTGGCGAGCCGATGCTTCGAGACACAGCTTTCGTATGCCATACCGTGGCTCTGATGTGTTCGAATTTTCTGGCAGACTGCACCCAAGGAGTCAAAGCGGATATGATGAGCATGCTGCCTGTCAAGCGATCTCACCAGGCTTGCTGGCCGATATGCACACATCATGATGGTTTTTTTGGGCGGAAAAGTGATTTTTCTCACAGGTGGCCGTACAAAATTGAAGAGGATGTTGCTGGAGCATTGGGGCAGCTTAGGTTCGACGTGATAAGCAAACAATACAACAAAAGAACTGCTCTACTACAAGCACTGCGCGCTAATCCAACTACTTATGATTAATCATACTTGTATATATGTATCACAACTATATCAGCTATGTTGGTTATAAAGTTTTACCTATTGTTTTCTTATTATATATTATATTATATACGTTTGAAAGTTTCAGCCACAGTTGTATGATTTATGTTAGCAATAAGTAGTGATTTATTGCCATCTAAAATGATGCGGGTAATGCACAGTCATAATATATGTATAATTTAATATAATATATATTTCAATAAATTTACAGTATCAGTTACATCATTATCATGGCAATGCTACAGCCTTTGCCTTTGGGGGACAGGTCTTGACCTGCTGATCACCCATGGTCCTGCAGGGCATGGCGCTTTGGGCCGTGCCAGCCCCCTGTTGGCGGAGCGCAGAGTGGGGTCTTCCCTTGGGCTTCAAGGGGATTTCCGGGAAGAAAACGTGACAGGAGAAAATCCCTTTTGAATGTCGGATTTTCCTTTGCCACGGTGAATGGACGCAGGGCATTATGATGCTATTGACAAAGATTAACACGGATAATATAATGGGATATATCCAATGGTCCAATGCCACCTTGATTGCTACAATGTACAATGTTTGGGTTTGTCGTCTGTCCATTTTTATGGTGTATACCATTGTATTAACCCTTGAAATTACAATTCTGATAGGGAAAATGATCGTAAACCACTGGATTTTATGGGTGCCCTATTCAGGCAAAGGAGCAACGGATAGCAGCATTACCTTGCCACGCTGCTTATGGATTGTAGATGCCCCTTTTGATTGACGAATGTCACAACCCAAAGGCATGAACCACACCCCCCTTTACCAAACGAATTGCCAGTTTGAGGTCCATGATCATCGATTGAGTTGAATAATAACAACTTTGTGGATGGTATATCAAATGTTGAGTCCGTACGTGGATAGTATTGAATCTACTACATTGACATTTGATTGGCACTTCGCTGTTGGGCTATTGGCCATAAAATGAGAACATCGACTAGCCAGCCATGAGATTCTTCCATCCCAAGAGGAGTCTCTGCAAAGGTGACCCTCCAAACATTCTTGGGGGGATTACCCATTTGGGAAGGAAGGTTGAATCCCAATTATCAATCAGAACCATCAATATTTTGTGGGTGCTAGAAGGAAACATCATCTTAAGTATCTTAGGATACACCAATAAATCACATTAAATCAAATCATATCATCATATCCCATGATATCAAACCATTTTGGGGTGGTTTATGGTGGTGTCATGTCACCATTTTGGACGCAGAATCGACGCAGGAGCACATCGCAGCTGTTGTGCCCCGGGTGCACGTTTATGGCCACTACCACCTCGGCAGATACGCCCAGGGATGCGCTGGAGAAGGTGGATGACTTTGGAATGGTTTGGATAATGGATTTTAATGTTGGATGCTGATTAGTGTTGGGCCCCCCCCTCCGAACAATTTTCGGATCCACTTTAGAATTATTTAAGTACCAGGTACTGAATAAAATTGGATCAATTGATTTTCAATTGATTTCAATTGATTTTAATTTACTTTCAATTTACTTTCCAATTGATTTTCAATTGATTTCAATTTACTTTCAATTGATTTCAATTGATGTTCAATTGATTTCAATTTATTTTCAATTGATTTCAATTTATTCTAATGTACTTTCAACTGATTTCAACTTACTTTCAATTGATTTCAATTTACTTTCAATTTACTTTCAACTGATTTCAATTGATTTCAATTTACTTTCAATTGACTCCTGATTTTAATTGATTTCAATTTACTTTCAATTGATTTCACTTGATTTTCAATTGATTTAAACTTACTTTCAATTGACATCCCATAGTAATCCCATAGTAATCCCATCGACATATCATAGACATATCATGGAAATCCAATAGGGATTCCACAGAAATGCCATAGAAAGATCATAGAAATAACATGGAAATGGCATAGGAACCACAAAGAAACCCCACAAGAATCCCATAGAATTCCCTCAAAAATCCCATAGTAATCCCATAGAAATATTATGGAAACATCGTGGAACTCCCATAGGGATGCCATAGGAATCCCATAGTAATCCCAAAGAGATCCCATACAAACATCATAGAAATACCATAGAAATCCCATAGGAACCCAATGGAAATCCTATAAGAATACCATAGAATTCCCATAGCATCCCTTCAGAAATCCCATAGAAATCCTCTAGAAATATCATAGAAATACCATAGAAATCAGTTTTAATTCCCATAGTAATCTCATAGAAATATCATAGGAATCCAATAGAAATATCATGGACATCCCAAAGAAATACCATAGAAATACCACAGAACCCCCATAGGAGTTTGTTCATTGGGTTTTAATAAGGCATCATATATTTGGTGAAATTGGACATTTCTGAAAATTCTATATGAATTTAACTAAGAAAGTAAAAGAACAAACTTTGGCAACGGAAAGGGTAAAAGGAATGTTTGAAAATTTGTCACCTCAGGCAACAGCTGGACACGGAAAGGGTAAAAGGAATGTTTGAAAATTTGTCACCTCAGGCAACAGCTGGACACAATAGAGGACCACCACAGCCAGCAAATATTCATAAATATTCATCAGTTAATTAAACCAATGAATTAATTAACTAATTTCAAGCATGTTCACAACATGAGAAAAAATAACATGTTTAAACACATTGGAAAATTCTGGGGAAAAAACGGATTATTTGTCAACAAAACTTGAAAAAATATCAGAAAACACTTGACACTATAGTGGACCACCCCAACAATTCCACAGATCCAGAATTATGTTGGGAAACTTGTCACAATAGTGCATCCTCGTACTAATCGGCGTACTACATTAATGGGGATAGTTAAGGATGTTATAATGGTGTGTTTCTTGTCCTTTTGGCTGGCTAGGAGTTGTTGGGAGATTTGTTTTGGGATGTTGGGCACTTTGGATATTGGCATTAAAACCATCTTTGCTTTCCAAGGCCATGGTATCAGACAGGAAGAGGCGAGTCCATGTTTGAACGGGCCGAACGAGCTACTGTACGTGAGCCAGTCTCAAACACCCCTCTGGAAATGTGGATAGAAATCAATGCCAGCAAAATTCGTGCTGTGACGAAATCTGCATGTATATAATGCATTATATATGAATTTATACAATTATTTATTATGGTTTGCCATCGGTCAGGCACTTACAGGCATGCTTAATGCCAAACTTCCTGCAGGTGCTTTTTGTCAATGCGTCGTGCCCTTAGTGCCAAGCGAGCAAAATTAGTGCTGGAGTTCGCATCTTGGACCTCCCCTTAACAGGAGTTTGCCCCAGGTGCAAGGAAGAAGTTCCACGCATTAATTCATCAAAGTGTTGATGTATGTTGATGTACTTGAATTCCGAGTTGAAGAGATGTCAATGGGCCTCGCGCACTTGTTGGCGGGTTTGGCGAGGTCATCGGCTGACGCGCTCTTTGCAATGACTCATCCTGCTATTGTTTTAGACATCCAACCACAGTGTGCAGCAGCAAAAAAAGACCGCAGGCATATGCCGAGGTGATGGAGAGAGAGATATGCCGAGATCAATTCGAAGGTGATAAATTCAAAATTCGAAGAGCACGAACTTGAAATTTCGCCAATCTAAGGAACAGTGGTTCAGGCAAAAGGTCAACCAGATCGTCGTTATTTGGGGTTTTCTTGATTTGTGTACTCATTGACAATGACTAGCACTCAGCCTGGCTCTCACGGGTGCTGTGGCACACGGTTTCATGCTTCAGATCATTCAACTGCCTTTTGTGCGCCCCTTTGTTTTTCTATGAATGGCGTGGCAACATGTGCGCTTTTCTTCACAAGACCTGCTTCCAGCAAGCATGGAACCTCAAGGACTTGCCATTAACGGGCCAATCTACCCCGCCCAATCTGTGCATTTTTTGGGGCTAGCTGCTAGCTGCGGCAGAAACTAGTCTAGTGAGTGCCTTCATTGATAGGGCGCAAGAGTCCTCACATCCAATCAGCATGCTTTGCCCTTGATGCTTTGGCGGCTGGCCATCCTTTCTGCAGCGAAGCTTGGACACCTTGGGGATCCTTGGGGTTTCCTTTTCGGTGTGTTGCAAGGAGACATGACATTTACCCTGAGGACGGATCCAAGATGACCACACCTCGTATTTTTCTTTATGTTTTGATCATTTTTGATCCAGAATCCAGACTGAGGATCGCAGATGTGGGTGCTGCGGCCAAGTACCTCTACCTGATCCTGAACTTTCCACACCGAATCATCCGAATGGACATGGATGGCCAGAATCAGGCTGGGGGGAAACATCTTCTGCAGCAAGTGGTTTGGTCATTTGATAATCAATATAATTAATTCCATTTGCCCAAAGTCGTGCGTGCATGGATAGATGTGGATGATGTGGATGGATAATGGATATGGTTAGACATATCACGTCATGACTGTCATGATATAGATTTAATATTATACTATGAATTAGATACATATATCATATATATGTTGGTGCATGAGGGGATTGGACGATGGAGCCCTTTGCAGGAAGGATAAAAGTCCGTGATTACTTTGGAAAGGAAACATTGGTTTCATCTGCGGCTTTCTCCACCCTGTTTGACGAGGTGGTGCTGTTGGACGGCTTGGGCCACCCGCACGGAATAGCAGTGGATGACCTCCACAAGAAGCTGTGCGCCAGATTGCGCCAGTGGAGTTGAGCTCGGTAAAGTCATTCTTTGCTGCCAACGCAGGTACTTCGGGGTTTCGGATGACAAGTCCGACAGACTCATGCGATCCGATTTGACGGGTCGCAACTTGGAGGAGCTTGAGACCTTGACAACCCGCATCAAAGGATCATAAAGGATCTTTTCTCCCTTCCCTGCACCTCTCAATCAAGTAGCCTTAATTAGGTAGAAGAACTATGAACAGATAAACCACATAAACCCCATTAAACCCCAGTTTTACAATGCTGCCTGCTGCTTTGAAAATCTTTGAAACTTGTTGTGTTCTGAAGGAGCTGGTGGAGGATGTTCACCTCGGTGGTGTCGCAGTTGATGCTGTGAATCAACACATCTACTGGACCGCTGCTTGGGCAGATGGTGCACCCGGAACCTATCGGAACCTGGTGGATCTATGTGGATCTGGCGGTAGTGAAAATTATATAGTTAAAGTTAAAGCCTGTTAAAACAAATTTGCATCTATGGATTATACGTTTCGTAGGGGGGCAGTACTGAAGATGCGATGATCCTGGTGATGACTGGCATTGCGGGTGGGAGACAAAGACCAAGATATGTGTCACACCAAGATATGACAGTTGCATTGTTGGCTTTCCACCATTTTCCCATTGATATATGAGCCAGTATGAGCTCATAGATTCGCGTAGCAGACTCCGTGATGTGCACGTTTTCACACATGCCATGTGGCCTCCTTAGGAGTTGAGCGAGGGACGAGTCCAGCGCTCGAAGTTGGACGGTTCAGAGGTTGAGACACTGGTGACTGACTTGCAAGACCCAGGCAATTGGGAGGGGGCAATCGGGATGCAATCGGGCAATCGCAAAACGGTGCCAGAGTTGGTTGGATGTCCCTTGTTCCATGGTTTCGGGGGCCACATGCAGCCGCTATGCTACGGTTTGGGTGAACTTTTTCGCATCGGTTTTGAGAAATTGGCACCTGACACAGCACATGGATCGCGCGGGATGCAGGTGGCCTGGACTTGGATGTCGCCGATGCTTGGCCAAAAGCAAAAGCCAGTGAGATCTTTGGCTAATCCCCTGCAATTTACTTGGGGAAGTGCCATTTTATAGTACGATTTTATGGGATGACCTTGGATTTATATATATATATATAATATTATATATATATAATTTATCATGATTTATCATGATTTATCGCTGTACTTCTCCGGGGTTTTGATGTTTTCAAGCAATGAAAACTGCAGCGGCGGCCGAGGCAGGGCGGCTCTACTGGTGCGACCAAGATGGTTGGGATGCGGACTCCAAGGGCAGGACACCAAGCTTGACCCACTCACTGCGTGTTTGGGTGATGTTTGGTGGCTAGGTATGCTAGGTGATGTACAAATGTGTATTAATATGTATATATATATATATATATATGTGTATATATATATATGTATAGTGACTAGTAGAAATTATGTTTCCAAAGAGTTTTGCCATACGGGTCCAAGCTGTCATGGAGGCGTGCACCATCACCTGCACGCAGTACAAACTGTGCAAGTCTAGCTTTGTGTGAAGGGAGGCCGACGTTCTGCCATGTCGATGACTTCTTCTTTTCATCAAGTTAAAAACGAATCTGCGCAAGGATTCAAACGTCTTTGCTCAATGGCTCTGGCTTATCGGTGCTCCATGAAGCGAGACTTGCTTTGCAACTGCGGCATGTCCTTCCCCACTTTTATTGAAGAATCCACGTTCGATCATTTTGACGAGTGCTCCATCAGAAGTGTGAATGCACACATGATACACATGACTGATCATTAGAACATTGAGAATCTCCACGCGAGTTGCCCACCATTTTTTTAGATCTGCTGAAATTGTCCCTGGTGGCTTCCGGCTTGGGTTGCGAGACATGGTCGCCCAAGGCGATTTCCAATGGATCTAGCCTTGGATGCTGCCAATCAAAAACTGCAGCTTGGCGATTAGACCAGCTTTGGGTCTTGAAAATTCAAAAGAGGTAGTGATGATAGGTATAGTGTTTTTTCTTCTAATCTAATCTACTAATCTAATGCCTTGAAGAAGGAATTCCACCACATCCAACAAGACTCTTTGGACGCTTCATGGCCATGATGTGGTTCCAAAAGTTGTTCCAAAGCCCCAAGGGCGTAGCTCTGCCAATTGCGAGGTACTGGACGGATGCGGGGACCTTTGAACTTACTCGCTGTAATTTGGATGGTACGGAGGTCGAGGTGATTCAAAATAAATCGGCCAGCCCCTCAGTCCGGATATGTCCAGCTGGCGAAGGTGGTAGTAGTCATGGTGACTGCTTTGGGAACTGCGGGTGAGTCAAACAACCGATGATCTTCCATGACTCCCACATTGTCCACATGTATTTGGATATATTTGGATGTTGTTGGCCGGATGGACACACACACACAGGCTATAGTTTTGACCCAGAGACATTTTGCGTGTTTGTGAAAGTTAGATCTTGTATGAAATTGTCCATGCGAAGCTACCAGGAAGCTGTGAACCAGTCTGCCAAAAAAGGGAGATGCCCTGCTGCACTCAGACATACCCAGACTAAAGGGAACATGTTGCTGATGTGGGTTTGTCTGAAAATTAGCTATACGACTCATTTCATTTATAGCAACTTTAATTGGGAAAATCATGATGATCCAGTGGTTTCAAGGGCACCCTATGGTGACAAAGCCATGTTGGTTTTGAATGGTGATGGGAGTCTTGTGATCTCTTGGTGTCACAGCTGGTGAGCGAGGACACATCACTGGCTTGCTGGACCCCCATGGCATCCTGCTTGACCACAGAGGCTGAGCATGACCCATACAGTGGATGTCCTACTTGAGCAGTGGATTTGTGGCCTTTGCTTTCTCTTCCTGGTTGCGATGTAGTTGTGTAGTGTTGGAGATGATGATCTTCTATTTGTCGTCCTACTTGTCGCTGTTGCTGCTCACAGGAAAAATCTATTTCACTTTGCTTGGCACCGCATACAGCACCAAGATTGGTGGGCCATCAATATCTCGCAATGGCAAGTTGCAGCGATGCAACCTGGATGGCAGCACCACTGCTGCATTGATTTGGGAAAACTCTGATAGGCCATCCAGCGGGCCATCCACTTGATTGAACAGTTGTCATATTTTTAGGTGGACCCAAGTCCGGCTAGATGTCATGTGATGGAGTGGAGCCTGAACGATGGTGGTGTTGCATGATATGAGCATGTCTTACAGTAGATTTGATAATTTTGATACCTTCTGGCCCTATGGCAACTTGGAAATCCAACCTTCAGAGCCAAATCTGAGGGAATCCAACTGGATTTGCTAAGGTGAGTTGGAGACACTCGCGGAGTTTGGTTCCACGCAGCCTGTATCCCTTGCACTTAGCGCTGTTGATGCCGAAATTGGCATGGACGGTGAACTTTGATCCTGGGAAAAGGTGCCTGTGCGGTGGGTTGCAGCTGGCGGATGGTGAAATGTCGTGCATGGTATCAGATTTGGGCGGTAGAAACTCCAAAGCTGTACGCTGACAGGGCTTCATTTCCAAATCGATAAGACGAGAACCACCAGTTGTCTTCCTTTGAGTGCTGCGGGGTTGGAAGAGATCTTGGATTTTTCTCTTGTCTCAAGAATCAAGATAATCAAGCGGGAGAATTATAGCTGTTTTATTTTGAATATATCTTCACAACAACCGGCAAGAACATACTGTATCATACTGTTACTGTAGTCAGAGTCAGCGATGATCACGTTCGCCATTTGTGACAATCACGCAAGAACATCCTGTATGAGATTGCAAAAGTGGTCAGAGGATGTTTGTCCAAGTTTGTGGAAGTTTGTCTATGTTTTTTTTACTGAAGCTCGACTGTGGTTCAAGAGTCCGTGCGCCCCACTCCTGCATGAAAGGAATCCAGTTTCAGCGTGTCAGGAATCTTCACCCAAGCGGATTCGTACCTATAGCAGCTAGGCATTTCAGAGGGATTAGCATGATAATAAATATGGATCAACTAAGCGATTGAAATTGAAACACCTTTTCCCCTCTTCTAAAAACAGGGGATCTCAGCCTTCAAGCCATGGCGGCCAATGGTAAGGGGCAGAAGAAGCGCTTGCGGGCAGTTGCGCGATCAACCATCAAGAGGACCAAGAAGACACCTGCAGCAACAGATGCGCAGGCCGCGCACTGCATCAGCCCACTCAACTTGCAGCGATATCAAACGATGCACTGCAAGATCGGTTGCATTTCATCCTTAGGTATCCTCAGATGTTATCTCCAATTTAGTTTGCTACGAGGAAGGGGGCCAGACCTGGGGTCATGTTTAGTGAAGCGTATCATAACTTAGGCCCAGTGCCTGGGGAGGGGTATCACGGGTACCACAGGTGCCACCCAGTAATTCACAACCTTTCACAGCTCAAGTCGCATCATCTTGCAGGTCGACGAACTTTTGACAGATCCAGAGTAGCTGGCCTTGATATGCCTTGATTGCGTGTGCTTCCGCGAGTCCGTAGGAGTTTGCAAGTTGTTGAGCATGTCATGGAGACAACCTGCAGGCTGCAGGTAGGTTTTTCTTGAGCTGCAGAGCTAGGGCAGACACTTGAGGATGAGGATTCTGGAATTACTTTGGAGGAGAACGGTGAGTAAATGCAGAGGGTTGGATAATGTTGGAATATGTTGGATATCAATATGATATCAATGTTGATTGATCATGATTGATCAACCATGATCAACCATGATCAACCTTGCAAGTCCTTCCAGTCCTTCCCCCAGAGCGCTCGGGCCGCTGGGCACTCGGAAGCTCAGGAAATTCTGCTGTCCAATCCTGCAATGTTTGATGGACGAACCGGTCGTTGCAGAGGCAACCGGCCTGGAACAGAAACACGTCGATGTTCGTGGCCGTGCAAGCTGCCAATAGCATTCTCAGTGCTACAATATGCCACGCACACACACACACATATAATATATATATATATCACATATATAATTTATGATTATATATTTATACTGATTCCAATGACTGGGATTCGTTCTGATTCTGAACAGGAATTGTGATTTTGATCCACCTGATGTTGCTGTTGATGTGAAGCGGGCATTCATAGGGGACATACTCAGCGCACCCGCAGCATTTGTTGGTTTTGTTTCATTTCGCAGTGCTGTGAGCTTAAAGCCTTGGCAATATTTGGCACATGATCATAGAAATGCCCATATATAATGTCCATATTCATCCTAATTATATATTATTCATCCTATTCTCCAGCGCTTTTTGTCGGCCTGATCAGGACGGTTTTACCTACGAACGTCATGCTATCCAATCAGCTTTGACTCATCGCTGGCGCAGTCCAATGACCGGCAGCGATATGGGCGACACTGCGTCTTGGCAGCATCCCGCAGTAGCAGCCGTTGCGCTCAGACTTTATGGATCGATGCCATCTGAGGGCCAAGGGCAGATTCAATATGTGCGGGTGTGTGCTTGCGTGTGTGTGTGTGTATGTGTGTGTATGTGTGTATGTGTCTGTGTGTATGTGTGTGTGTGTGCGTATGTGTGTATGTGTGTTTGTGTGTATGTGTGTTTGTGTGTCTGTGTATCTGTGTGTGTGCAGGTGTGTGCTTGTGTGTGTGTGCGGGTGGGTCAACAGTGTGTGTGTGTGTGTGTGTGGGTGTGTGGGTGTGTGGGTGTGTGGGTGTGTGGGTGTGTGTGTGTGGGTGTGTGGGTGTGTGGGTGTGTGGGTGTGTGGGTGTGTGGGTGTCCTGCATGCTTGGTTTTTCTTTGGCCAGAGTATCCAGACCCGGAGAACATGACAATATGACGAGCATGAGGGAACTTTGGTTTGATTGGCAAAGGCTCAGGGATGGTACTCTGTTGGCACATTTGTGGATAATTTCTGTAGATATTCTTTCTGGTTTGGCCGGATGTGTTGCAGATTGGTTGCTGGTTTGATCTCCCTTGCTCATTTGGAACTGAGGTGCTTCCCATCAACAGATTGAAATCTGAGATCAAAGCTTACAAGGATGAAGTGGTTGAAAAGATCATCGAGCTTGCCCCTCGAAGTCAAAGTGGTGTCCACATCTTCCGATCGAACGTGAAGCATTACTGGAGACTATACAGTACGTACAAATCAAGTATCTATTCTTTAGATTTCTTTAGGGTGGTCGTGCTTGCATTTGCGTTGCCATCAAGGAGCGTGGCTCTTGTCAGAATGTTTTGAACAAGAGGCATCCCGTAGTGTTTTAGCTGTGCCAGAGTGTTGCACCTGTGCAATCCACACCCCCAACTAATTTAGTGGGGCATGGCATGCCATATGGAGGTACAAAAGAACATCCCATACCTGAAACAAATTCTGTTGAGTATTGTTTCTTACATTACCAGAGTTACCAGATGATTCTATATATAATTCTCGCATATGGTATTTCAGTGGATTTTTGGTGGCTACCCTTTGGTAAACTAACATAACTAAGGAAAATCACCATTTTTAATGGGAAAACTCACTATAAATGGTCATTTTCAATAGCTATTTTGACATAACCAGAGGGTATTCCTTGGTTCCCCAGCAGGCGCGACTTCCCACATCTTCCCAGGTCCCCAGAATCGACTCGCAGAGCCGAGCCGCCAAGCTCTTGGATCGGGCTGAGGAGTTGCTGCGGACCCGAAACGGACCCGGTGCGTTGAGTGACCTGGACGTCCCCCCATGAGTCCACGACTGGTTGGTGGTTTGGAACATGGCTGGATGATTTGCCCCAAGAGTTGGGATGATACTCCAATCTGACGAACTCATATTTTTCAGAGGGGTTGAAACCACCAACCAGACGATGTTTGATGATTTTTCTGATATCTGATAGATATCTCTGATCTATTGATCATTAATCATTGATGAATCATTGATTAATCCGCCAAGATTTACCAGAAATGGATAGAAATAGTACAATGATGGATATGATGGGCAATTTCTTCTGTGCTCTTTTTGAGAAACACCAAGGTGAAAGCGCTACGAAGAAACTGAAGACTGTGCTGCTTCTCAGATGTAAACTGCCCTCAGACTATCATGGCGATGCAATTCCTGAAGCTTGTCTCAAATTTGCACGCCCAGATGTCATGGGCAAGTCCTGATGTGCGCAAATGGTCGGAGTTGTCCTGCGTAGGTCTGAGTTGTTCCATCATTGCTTTTCTGCATGGTCTGGATGGGCGCAGGGCCTGATTGTCCAAGGAACTCCTGGATTTGCTGCTGAGTGACAAGGATGCGAGCGTGCTGATAGAACTGTTGGAGGACTACGAATCCCTTCGCATTGCAGACTGGACAGAATCCCTAGACTTCGACGCACGTCCAAGCCTACAAAATTTCATATAATTGTTTGTTGTTTCTTGTCATGCCTGTTTGTTTGTTTTTTTCCCTCCGAAGGGCCGTAGATGTGTGTTGCTTTGTCACAATTTGTCACGCCTTGCCGAGAACACTCTATTGGACCTCCATTGGGTCGGCTGGCAGCATGGATTGCCTTCTTCTTCTCCCAGATGTCAAGACCTCATCGACACGGAGCTTGTGTCTCGCTTGGCGAAGGTGGCCAGCGATGCCGTTGACCTGCAGACGGAAGTGGTTCCTTTCCTCAACCTTAACATCTGCATGATGTAATGATGTTGATGTTGATGTGAGGTTGCATGATGTTGCACCGTAAGGTATTGGAGGTGCTGATATGTTTTAAATATTTTTAAATCATGGAGTGCCCTGGGGGTGTATGATTTGTATATTGTCACAATTTGGTGGCCATTGTTTCGTGCGTTCATGTGCGTTCTGTGATGACATTCCTTGTGGTATAGAATATTGCAGCCCTTGTTCAATAAGAAAAATCTCATCATCTCCTTCTTCACTGAATTTCTTCATTTTGCGGAATTTGGGTATAACTAATACATGTGAAAATAGGACTCCCAAATCTCATGTGCATATTTTCCCCGTTAATTACTATTCTGAGGACCATTCATGGAGAAATCCGGATTGATGTGATTGTTGGTAAAATAAGATCATATTTCCATATATTTCCCATCATAATCATCCTATTTGACTATCATCCTGGTGTTTATAGAACCCTCCGTAACCCTCCGTAACCCTCCGTAACCCTCCCTTTAAAATAGGACAAAGAAATGGAACCAAGGATAGCGTGAACGATCTCTGGTCCATTACCTTGGAGCTTGCCAAGAGCACCAAACTCAACTGCTGGGTGAAGACGGCAGCCTTGGTCTTCACCAGCTTCTGGAGAGACATTGGCCTCTTGGACGATGTCACTTGGCATCACTTGGCGCAACTTTACGATACTTTACGGAAAAAAAAACATATAAAAAAGCCGTGGTGTGACGGGCTGGGAAGCATCCAAGACATGGATAGAAATGAATCCAAATGGATAGATATGGATAGAAATGGAACACTTAACAGCAAAAGTTTAGATTTGAATAGATTTGATATTATGCGATGATCATCGCATGGGGATACCAATCCAACAAGTTATCACTGGCTGGTGGTTTCAAGCATGTTGATGATTTCTCTGAATTTCCTTGCGTACTTGGATGGGCAAAGACTGCGTCAAGGAGACGGGATCTGTTTTGCCCCCTCCCTCCGGCCATTGGGCATTCCGAGAATCTCAGATTCATCATGAAACGCAGTTCAAAAGATCCAGTTTCCATGTTTCAGATGCTTTTCAGTGGCCATGTTGTCAATGGCCATTTCAGGTACCAAACTTGGAGGTGCCTGCCATATATTCACACAATTTTCACACACACACATATATATATATATAATATAATATAATATAATATATATAATATAATATATATATATATATTATATTACATTGGACTATCTAAGGGCTATGTCAGCGCATATGCCCCCTTCATTTTAGGGTCAGCAAGGTGAAGCTGGGAAGTTTGTCCGAAGATCTGCTGAAACTGGCCGTGATCTTCATGCAGGACCCCAAGCTCGCTGCTTCCGATGCCGAGGAGTTGCTGTGGCAGCTGCTGGGGAATGGCAACGAATGGGATATGAAATCATATATTTGATATATGATATGTATATATAATATTATATATGTGCGTGTGATGTATATATATATATATATGTGTGTGTGTGATCATGGGATGTCAATGTGTCAATGGGGTGCTAATGAGATATCAGCGGGATATTAAGAGGATGCTAATGGGATTCATATAATGGGATTCAATGGGATTTCACCGGGTTGAAATGAGATTTATTCAATTTAATGGAGTTTAATGGCACTTAATGGAATAGTGGGATGTTCATCTGTGCTTCAAGATTTTTATCATCTCCCCAACGGATTTGTTTTCCAAGCTTTTTATTTGGAAGGGGTGGTAGTGAGTGAGTAATAAGTAAGGTAATAATTAATCAGTAATGGCAATGGTGAAAACTAGTTGATTATGTGTGTTTTTATGCGAGATATACCCTGGTGAATTACATGGATTATAAACCACTGACTAGATGGATGCACTCGGTAGAAATCAAGTCAGGATCGTCTCACCAGTTTCCTGTGATGTGTATCCTTTTGGGGATTGACTGTGTGAAATGTGTGCAAACCTGCTGGTGGTTTTTTGTAAAAGGTTGGGGGGTCAAAAAGGTGGTGCCAGAAAGACACTTGATGGTCAGATTTCAAATTCTATAGTGGGTAACCGATCTTATACAGGCCCAAGGTGAACTTTGCTGTGCATTCTGCTGTTATTTCAAGTATTGCACGGTAATTCGCAATATCCATGCGTGTTTTATATAGCATCCATCCATCTATCTATCTAACAAACTATCTCTATCTATTTGTCTATTTGTTTGTTTGTTTGTCTGTCTATCTGTCTATCTATCTATCTATATCAAATTCTGCAGCCACATACTTCTACTACAAAATCGATCGTCATCAATCGTCCAATGTAAAATCAAGCGCCAACTACAGAATTCAGGTGCCTTTCAAAAAATCAATGTCCACCCTGCCTTGCTTTCAGCAAGGGTCCCCTCTATAGAATCAAGTGCCTACTATACATTCACCTTTCACAGGTCTAAAATATAATGGTGAAAAAACTTCTTCAGAATTCGGTTTGGGTCAATTCCTTGGATTGGTGGTGGATCCTGACTGTCAAAGTCGGGTTGGGTCCGATTTTATAGTTGTGAAAAGTTTAAAGATACATCAAGAGTGTAACATTATAGTGCTCCTTTCCCGTGTGCACCCTAGGTTTGCCATGTCATAGGCGTCTAACATCAAGGGAGCCCGGAGGGTTTGGTTTTGTACTATCAAATCACGCTCCCCACCCCGACCTGGTTCATGGGAAAGGGATATGACGTGCGTGTTTTGGACTTACCCTCTGGTTATGACTAACATTGCCATGGACAATCACCATTTTTAATAGGTAAACCATCTATTTCTATGGGCCATTTCCCATGGCTATGTTAAATAGCCAGAGGATATATTAACTTATTATTTTTTAAATGTCTAAACAACAAATGTTCCGCAAAGGTATCAGTTCCTGTCATTTGCAACCTGTCTACCGAGGTTGTGGGGCTGTGATTTGCAGCTTCGGCAGATCCAACTTCCCATGAATAACAAGAGCATCTTGGCAAATCATCCATTCCACCATAGAAGTTGAGAGACAGTTGGAAGATTGAGATGAAGATTGTGGAAACAATCCATCAAGATTGTGGAAACAATCCATCCCCCTTGCATGTATTGGATTTGTATGGATTTGTGCATTTTGCGGTCCAATTTGCTGGCGTGTGTCTATTCTGGTTTGGTAGGGCGCCATACACTAGTCGTTTTGTCCAAATCTGTTTCTATATGATAATCAAAATGTGAGATCATATGTATGCATGCAGTCCTATCTATATAATCATATTTGCATATATAAATATATATCATATGTATATATGAGCCCGGTCCCCGGACCCCCACACCCCCCCCCCTCCCCCCCCCAATGGTATCCCCCCCCCACTCCTAACCCCCCCCACCCCCCCAAAACCTAGTATTTGCATGTTATTTGCACATATACATACACATATACACATATATACTCCCCTTTCCACCCCTCCAACCTCGCATCTCTACGTTATTTGCAGCACTTGAGAGCCACGACCTCGTCAACGGACCTTGTCTACCTGTATATTTCTATCATAACCTTTTTTCGAACCGCCTATAGCGTGCCTCGCACATGGTTTACAACATATTTGCTACCTATGGATTACGCAAAGCTTACCTATGCAAACCTAGACATATGTACAGTAGAAAAACAATAATATATATATATATGCACATTCTAGATACTACAAATTGATATCTTGATCTTGTATCTATCACATATTTCGTTTACATTGTACATACTGTACACGTATATATATATATATTTATGTGTATATATATATATATGTATATATATATATATGCATATATGTATATACATATATATATACATAAACTCTAGATATACAGCGTGTATTGCTGTCGATATTCAATATACCACATATACTATGTAAAATTTATTCAACGAACATATTTACCTGTATTGTATATATATTACATCTACTGTGGATACAGTACATGTGACATATACTATCTATATTCTATCAAAAACCACGTATACGATGTGTATATATATATATATATGTTCAATATATATATATATGTCAAATATATATACTATAAATATATATATATATATTGCATATATTCTATTTATATCTTACATATTATATATATGTTTATATATATATATACACTACACATACACTCTATATTACATATAGTATATCCATTCTAATTATCGATACATATGCATTATATGCACTATAAAGACTACATACACCATGGCTTGGCTGCTGAGAAAACCCCCCCTCCCCTGCCACAGGGGGGCGGGGAACCATCTGGCTGGGTGGGGTGTGTGTGTGGGGGTCCTAAACACAATATAATATATATATATATATATGTGTGTATATATATATATATATATACTGTATATATATATATGTGTGTATATATATATGTGTGTGTATATATATATATACTGTGTATATATATATATAAATTATCATTGCCACATAGCCTGGGGTTCCTCGCCTAGGAGCCGACGTGCTGCTTGAGCTTGCTGAGAGGCAGATCGACGATCGACAAGCGCAGCTTGGAGCATCCAGTGATTTCAATGGATTTTAATAATGGGATAATGGGATAATGGGAATATAATGGGAATATAATGGAAATATAATGGGATAATGGGAATATATTGGGAATATAATGGGAATATAATGGGATAATGGGAATATAATGGGATAATGGGAATATAATTGGAATATAATGGGATATAAGAGGAAAATAGTGGGATCATGGGAATATAATAATAACCCTATAGGTGGAATAATAACCCAACAAAAGGCTGGAATAGTGGGAAATAATGGGAATATAATAGGTTAGGGATGATCTGCATGAATTATGACGACCTCAACTGCGACGTCACTGGAATGATGATTAGTAGCGGTACCTAGCAGGAAGAAGCCGTATTTCAATTTAGTGAATCATGATGATTCATCCAGACGATTGGTTCCAAGGATGGGGTATGCTTCGTTCAAAATAGCGATAAACCATGAGAAATCGATGAAGGATGGGATTTAGGGGTGCCCCCTCTTTGGACCAATGGTTAGCAGGCGGAACCCCAAAATGGGTGGCAAATTCTCAGCTGCCCCAGTTCCAGGAAATTGGAGTTGTTGCTGAAAGCTCGGGAAGCAGATCCGCACAACTGGGGAGTTCGCAAAGCCCTGAAACCCCTGTTGCTCAGTCAGTCTGTGCTTTGGTGTGTTTGAAAATAAGGCCCCCAAATGGCCAGTGAATAATGGGAACTGATGATTGACATGGATTAATCATCATAATCCATTGGTAATCCATTGGGAATTTGGGGGTCATTTTCGGTCAATCTCTCTCAAACATTTCTGGGGACCCCATGTTTAAATGTTTTGTTAGTAGTAATAACAGATATGCAGACAATGCCATTTCTATGTATTTCTGCGGGAGGGTGTGGTGAAAGCTTGCTCTGAGTTGCCATGTTTGCTTATGTCGGTTCCTGCCAACTGGCAGGTTACTAGAGATGCTGGACTTGGAAGACAGAATCGACATGGAATGCACCCTCATTGACGTTTGCCTTGAAGATGACACGGAGATCCCAAAGCAGAGACTTGTCAACATATATTCATAGTTGACATGGCCGGACACGTGCTGTTTTCAAAATTTGTCAACCTTGTGTTCCATGAGGAACTCAGTTTGCCGTGATGGGTTGAAACAAGAAAGCAGTCCAAGCAGTTGGCCTCAGCTGTGGCCAAACATCTTCAGATTGACATGCCGTGTTTGAGATGATGATGAAGGCAATGATCCCATGATTCATCCTGATATTGCTGCATGTGCACACGGAACATGTCGAGTTAATTTAGTAAGTTAGAAAGGCATAAGCTACCTCCACGGTCAAGGATGCTCGCCAAGCTTCAACTCGAAGCGGAGAGTTTGCAAGATCTCTCGGCGACATCATTGATGACTTTGGCATGGCAGATGCTGGGACCAGAAAGCTGAAATGCTGCTACCAAGTCATGTCTACTCCTATTACTTGCGACCCAAATGGGCCAAATACTGAGTCAGAAACTTGAGTTGTTATTGCACTTCGGACGAGATAGCTTCAATTTATAGATTCTGCAGGAAAACTTCAGTCACTCCGGTTCCGTTGCTGCACGTGCTGCATGACTTTCGCCATTCCATGTGGCCTGAGGCTGTCGGAAGATAGACCCACAGATGCAGCCCGCATAGCAGTGTTGGCTGCAAAGAAACACGAGGCAGATGAGAACCTTGATCAAGCTCACAAGGTGCGGTGCTGAAGATGCGGACATTTGGAAAGTTTGTTGATAGCCTGGTTGATAGGTTGGTGCATTAATGATTTTGGGATAGTTGAGACATTTGTTCCAGCCTCGGTCTTCAGAACTCAGTCGGCTCATACCCAGGCATTTGTCTTGGCCTATCGCTGGGATTTGCGGAATGAGGATGCCAGAGAGCAGATGATTGAGATTTGTGCTGAGACCAGCTCTCGATATATGGACTTGCAGATGGAATGCAATCATTTGAAGGCTGAAGTGGCACGCTTGAAGGCCACTTCAGTCACTTGGTGTTTGGAAGAAGGCGTCAACTTCTACCCTGACAAGTTCCCAGCTTCCAGAAGCTATGGAGTGCGCAGTCCACACTTCTATTTTAGCCACTTTGAGGGCTGGATGGAATTCTTCCCGCGAGGGGTGGCTCAGGCACAGGCATCTAAGGCAAGGTTTGGGCTGGTTCCATCCAACTCGTCAGATATTTGGGCCCTTCAAGTGCCATAAGACAATTTACATAAAATCTGATATGATCTGATCATGTCAAGATAAAGATCCATCAGCTGGACCGTCGTTTCACCTTGTTTTTGGCAAGCCCTGCAAGGCATCTTTCCAGATGTTCCTGAACCCCACCGAGCTGTTGATGAACCGCCTGCAGGGTGGAAGGCAGCGCCCGAGCACCAGCTTGAGCTTGAGGGCAGTGGTAAGGCTGGGCTCGGTGGAACACAGCGCCAAGGTCAGGATCGTTGGCAATCAGGACGCTTGGATGATGGGTTGGAAGGTGAAGGGTGAGCCTGTAGCAAAATATTGGGCCATATTAGGCCATATTGGGCCCAAAGCTCGAAAAAGAATGGGTTGGTTGGACGTTTCCATCTACAGACTGCTTTGAAACAGTGTTTGATTTTTCATTCCCTGCTTGGGATGAGGATGATGACCCCCAATCATTCCAATCATTCAATTGAGCTACCTGAAACCATGTGGAACCCCCATGAAGCTACAATGACCTACTGAGGACTGTTGGCAGCCCAAATTGGCATTGCCGAACTTTGTGGACAGTTGTGAGGTCAATACTGAGGACGACAACTGGACCACCGAACTCACCGTGGAGTTTAGTGAGATGTGCTTCCACACCAGGGATGGCCCACCACCTCCCACCGCGGCATTGAGCCTGGCCGAAGAACTGGGAATTTTTGGATGTTTTTCGCCGCGATTTGGAGCGGAGGTATCTGAGACCTGCTGTAACTTGTGCCCCATTGAGGACAAACACACCCACACACCCACACACCCACACACACACACACACCCACACACCCACACACACACACAGACACACACACACACACACCCACACACCCACACACACACACACACCCACACACACACCCACACACCCACACACCCACACACCCACACACCCACACACCCACACACCCACACACCCACACACACACACACACACACCCACACACACACACACACCCACACACCCACACACCCACACACACACACACATCTTATCACATCTTATCACATCTTCTTTGGATTTTGCATGAAACGATGAAACAGAGCGCGCGCGCATACAAAATAGTATTCAAAGACGTTGGTGTATTCTGTACTCCTTTAGTCTCTTTCTCATACCTTTACTCTGCGCCCTCAGTCAGGAGATGTTTGCTGGTAGATGTTGAAGCGTGCTCCCTGGACACTGCTGGAAGCTTGACGATCGCTCATCCAGTTTGCTGCCTCTGAGGGCATGATTTCGCTTGCGCGAGGGGAAAAAAACAATGGACCAGATGGGAACGCGGGGCCATAGAGCACGCAATTGCTTGCTGCATCAGGACGGACCTTTCATCTAGCCGAATCTAGCCAAGAAATATCCCAAACTGTTTGCATGGTGAAGTGATGTGAAGGGCAGAACCTTTTCGTGATGGTATCACATGGCACACAACAGCATCATTATAAATTATAATATTATAATATATTAATCACACATTAATAATATACACACACGCATAATCGCATTATTGTATGAGCATATAATTTTGAGGTCCTTGACTTTTGCTTTTTGCTTCTGAAGCTTTCCAGGAAATTCCTGCCGCTGTGGATATGCATTTAAGGAATCAGATCAAAAGGTGACTTTGTGATCAAGTTGTGGAAGTGGATGCTGGAAGCAGCTCACCTGGTGAGACTGTGGAAGATGTGGAAGACACTTTCAATTTGTTTCGACTAGTCGACTGGTTTTTGACTCAAAGTTCTGGCTCGCTCGGCATCTGCGGTTCGGTTGCCATCCCAAGCTGCGCAGCTCAGCGCATTTTTTGGCCAAAGCTCAGCACTGCGGCATGGCACCACAGCACCGCGGCACTGCTGAGGTCATGCTTTCGAGATCTCGCTTCCCTGCGCAGGACCCGAGATCGATCAGAGAAAAAAAAAACACAACTTTCATCAACTTTCGCCGTGAAGGGAGGCTCAATGCGATACAAAATATGCAAAAGTGACTCAAAAGTGGTTCATGTGAAAGGTTGAAATGAATCAAGGCCTATACGTGTTGTTCTTCTCTTTGTGCCGAAGCAAAAAATGCCTGAGGTCGAACGGGTCTATTGAGTCTATATTTCTGTTTGTTCTTTATAGAGACTCAGAAGGGATCCAATGTCAAAGTCATGCGATGTGCAATTCAGGCCTTGGCCCGTGGATTTGCATCAACTGTCCCTTGGACTCTTCTGGGACTCTTCTGGGACTCTTCTGGTGGATCCAAGGGCGGGACCAGTGGATTTTGGGCCTCACTTGGAATCCACATTGGTACAGTACCCCACCATGCCTGCAGTTTGCCAAAGCAGGGATAGTACTGTCTCATGATGTCTCATGTCGAAGTTGGTCTGTGTTGGTCTGTGGCAAAAATTGCAGGTCACTGACAGTCACTGACAGTCGCTGACCGTTGACAGTTGCCCAGGCTGCGCGTCGATCACCACCTTTCGTAGGTCCTGAGGCGAGAGGCCCACAAAGAGGTCCACTTCGAAAGCAAAGATTTTGGAAGTACATGATTAAATGGGGAAAGGATTGTCTTTTCATAATATCTTTCTTTGACGATTTGGTAGACACATAGATGGTAATTAATTATAGATAATTATATAGATGGAAAATGATGGACATGTTACGTGACATCTTGATTGTCAGATATGGCAAACGGGATTGCGCAACGTATGGCTCAACCGAGTTACACCGTTGTCAAATTATTGTCCATCGTTGCCATGCCATTTTTTCCGCAGGGGCCTTGGGCTTCTGGTCCAAGCCTCGGTTCTGGCGGGATTTGATGCCTGATGATTCTAGGGGTTAGTTTCGGTTAGCTATGGAGGTTTTCAAATGGGGGTACCCCAATAGCTGGATGGTTTATAGTTAATTTATGTTAATTTATATAGAGGAAAATCCCATTAAAGTGGATGATTTGGGGGTACCCCTGTTTTGGGAAACCTCCATATGCGGTTAAACTTGGAAATTGGGGATGATGGGAAAAATCCATGAGCTGGGAATCTCTATGACACAAGCAGCATGATGGTTTGACACATGTTTCGGGCACGGCGTATTTGAACATGCTCATTTGGATGGATTGTAGCAACACCCCATCTATGGGAGCCACAATCCCAATACTGCAAGTGTGTTTTTTGCATGGGAGGTGGGTGGCTTAGATTGGGTTTACTGTACTGCATGTACATGCAATACAAAAGTAGAACGTGTTTTTTGTTTGTTTGCTTGTTTGTTTGTAGGGGAGCAACGGACGCTTAGGGGATGTTGGCGAAGCCACGGTGAATCACAAACAAACCTGTGTGTGTGTGTGCGTGCATGTGCGTGTTCACATGCTTGTTTGGGATCTCGGCTCAAAAAGGCCATTGTAGCCAAACATACGCGCCCGGCAAATTGCAACAGAGGTGCGCAAATACATGCAAAACCATCAACTAGCTTCCGTTGTTTCTGTCATAGCCCAATCAGTCCCAAAACCGAGAATGGCCCTCATCGGAGAGCATTGCTCTCAGCTGTGGATGGGGGAAGCCGATTTGTGTACAGATTCCATAGCCATAGCTCATATGTGTTGCATTTGTGACATATTTGTACGGGTCAACAGCCAGGTGCGTGAGGGTCCCCTTCGTAAAGGCTTCAGGTGTCCTTCCTTAATCTTCCTTGGATTTTCTGTTCAGCAATTCTGATGCCAGGGTGATGGCTGCGGCCACCAAAGTATACCTTGCCGTAGGGGTGGCATCTGGGCGGCAGACATTCTTTATCATTTCGAGCTATTCACTGGCTTTAGATGCAATGACCCTGGGACAGATATTTTCAGAGAAGGGAGGTAAGGACCAGGAGATGACTGGAGTATACATGGCGTGTATTTGTTCCATGTTTGGGTCCACAGGAATTGCTGGGAAAAAAATGGGGACAGGGGGAAACTAGGACAAGAGGTTGGAGGTTGGTTGGGCATTAGCAATAGATGAACTAATTTTAAATGATACAGAAAGGCCAACTATCACAAGTCAAGTCAGGATAATTGAACACTGGTGGGATGGAATAGGAAAGTGGAAAAAATAAAAAAAAATCATAATATCTTAGCAAAAGATATTATGAAGTATTCACCCACCCAAACACAAACATAAACCCCAACAGCCTAAACAATTATCCCCCTCATCTTAAACCAAACCATCAAGTGAAAGTTAGGGGCAAAATAGTCCCAAAACCCCCACCACATAAAACATCGAAGGTAAGGAAGAAACATTGAACAATAACATAAAAACCATAAGAACCAACATAAACCCTTGGGATGTCCTAGCATCCCCCTTTTACCATTTTTTTCTGGGATATGCAGACGTGCCAGGACTCAGTCAATTGCTTTGAATGAACTGAGGCGTTGATTGCACTCATTGCTGCTGGCTTCTTGCTTGGCAGATTGGTCCCTGTCTAGGATCTAGGGTAGTCAGTCTGTTCATGTTGTTTCCCCTTGCAAAGCGGAGCTGTAGTTGGTACGTTGCTCCTTTGAATTTTGTGCCACGACTGTTTGGCAGCGAAAGCCGCACAATCCAAACATGACAAGTGGATACAAGTGGATCAAATGATTACCCTCTGGTAAACTAACATAGCTATTGAAAATGACCATAGAAATAGTGGATTTTCCCATGAAAAATGGTGATTTTCCATAGTTATGGGACAGTTTACCAGAGGGTAAATGGAAACACCACCATGTGGCGCCACCATGTGGCGCCACCATGTGGCGCCACCAAAGCGCCACGAGTTCGAACACAGACCGAACACTTAAGTTCCACCGCTCGGCCCGAGTGCTTTTCGCTTCAGGCGAAGCTTTCATCAGCAGCCCGCTGTCGACGCCATTGTCACAGCCTAGCGGGCCGAGCTCCGCCACCACTCGCCCGGTGGGGATGTGACAACAGCACCTGCAGTTCAACCTTTAGGTATGTATGTTATGATATGTTATGATATGTTATGATATGTTATGATATGTTATGCACTTCACATCATAAAGGTTTTTAACAAATCAGGGAACTTTCATTGAGCCAATGGATGTCTGAGTCTGTTTGATTTGTTATGCCAAGACTCCATGAGTTGAGCTTGAGATTTCAATCTTTCTGTCTGCAGGTTCGTCAAATTGCTGCAAGTGGTTCGAAGAATGACGCCTTGTGGAAGGCTCACTACTCGATTTCGAAAATGTCTCGTCCAGTTGACGTCATTCTCTAGTTACCCTCTGGTAAACTGTCCCATAACTATCGAAAATCACCATTTTTAATGGGTAAATGCACTATAAATTGCCATTTTCAATAGCTATGTTAGCCATTACCAGAGGGTATCCGATGTTATCGGTGCATATCGGTGCCCTTTTTCGCCATCGTTCAGCACCCACATTGGCCTCAACAGTTTGATGCAGGCTGTCGCGTCTATGACACTGTTGAGCCTATCTATGGGCAGAGTTGCGCAGAGACGCCAAGGGAAGGTGACTGGGCCCCAACATATAACATACATAAGAAAAAACATATAAATTATGAGAATTTGCACAGGTCTTGCGTTTTAACTGGTGGCTTGTGTTTTATGGATTGGACTCCCCCAAATAGGCACCAAACTCTGCATTTTAGACCAAAGAGAAACCAGGCCATTCTCATGGATTCATGGCTCACATGTGGAACGAAAAAGATAAACCACAAGGCAATGCAAGTTTGAGTCACCTTAATTATCATACATGTTACATATAACTATAACTTGTAACCAGGTATATAATTCATTTTTTTTACTACATATATACTTACTACATACTTAGCTCAAACCAACCCATCCAAGATTCAAAAGTCAAATTATTGTCATTGTCATAAAAGGCTGGGAAAAATTTAAAATTCAAAAAAGGCTAGGAGAAGATAGGATTGTAGATTCCCTTAAACGATTTTTTTTCAAATAAGAACATTTTTAAAATTCAAAAACGGCTGGGAGAAGATAGGGTTATGGATTCCCTTATTTGATTTTTTTTTCAAATTAGAAATTTGAAAATAAAAAAAAAGACGGGTTTTTTAATGAATCTCTTAAACGTTTTTTTTCCTCAAATAAGCAAATTTGAAACTTCAAAAAAGGCTAGGAGAAGATAGGATTATGGATTCCCTTAAACGTTTTTTTTTTTTAATAAGAAAATTTTAAAATTCAAAAAAGGCTGGGGGAAGATAGGATAATTATGGATTCCCTTAAGCGATTTTTTACTTAAGAAAATTTTAAAATTCAAAAAAGGCTGGGAGAAGATAGGATTATGGATT